CAGCTGCTCAGGCCAGAGCCGAGGAGTGGTCAATCGATCACACCTGTCTGGCCTAAAGGACAATTCTGAGCAATCCCAGAAGCCCCGAGACTCTTGATAGCCTCGTTCGTGGGGAATGCACGGCTCAGCAGGCCCAGGCCCTTAAGCCTGACCCGCCCCTCAGCACGTTCACTGCCCATCCCAGACAACACGTGCACCCTAGCTCCCGGGTGTCATCGGGACACGCAGGTGTGTCTGTCAGAGTGCTCCTCTCCGTGTCCGCGTGCGAGGGTGTGAGGGTGTGGTAGTAGGTCTGCTCTTCCTCCACCCTGCCCTCAGGCTTGGAGGGTGGGGCACAGGCCTTGAGATGGTCACCCCAGCCCTGGCTTATTCCCCGGCAACACCAGACACTGTTTAGTCCGCCTCACTCCCTGCAGTGCGCGTCGTTCCTCCATGTCTGGGTGGGAATGTGAAGTGTCGGTTGAATGCGGCCTCTTGAGACAGAGCCGGCAGGAGGCCACTGGCGCCAAGCTCCACCCACATAGGAAGGTACGGGACTGCACTCCTGTGTGACTCTGCTGATCAGGGTTGGAGGGCTGTGTGCCGAAGAAACCGAGTGGCCGTCTTGGGCAAGAGAGGGATTTGTTGGAAGCACATTAGGAGCTCACAGAATTGATGGGAACAATGCAGATTTGGGAGGCAGGGCTCCTGGGCTTACTGGGGACCTTCCCCAAAGCGCCAGACGATTTTCCCTATTTTCCTGCCCCCCTACTCAAGATTTAAAGCCCGGGGCAAGAGAGTCCAGTTGGACCCTGTGGCCATTCCTTGATGTTTAGCTCCGTTAAGCCCAGGACACCAGGGTGCTGCCGGGAAGGGGGTTGGACTCTGAATATCAAAACAGAACAGCATTGAAAGGAAAACAAACACACACGAAGGTGGTGTCCATTATAATGATCTTGGGCAGGCCACGGGCCCTCTCTTAGATGCAGCCTCTCGGCAGGACCGGGAAGAAGCTGGGCTCAGGATCCTTCAAGGGATTCTTTGTTTCTGATAGTCTGAGTCCATGATCGAAGGAGACTGAAGCTTCTATCATTTAGAAAGCATTAAAAATGTTCAAATGACAGAACAGGGACTTCTGTGTTTGTGGGGACTCAGAGCCATCTGTTACGAGCAGGAGAGAGAGAGAGACAGGGACAGAGCATTCTGAGCAGGACTCGTGAGGCAGGCCCAGGCTGGGGGGGTGGAGGGCCCCGGATAAGTCCCTTGCTTGGCAACAGCAGGAGCAGAGAGGGGCTGCCGCCTCCCCAGGGCTGGGTGCTCACCTGTGGAAAAGGTAATTGGAGGGCGGAGGCAAGGGGCACATGGAAGCTAATGGAGGGTGGAGTCAGTCAGGGAGAAAATACCTTTTCCAGAGGGGCTAGGAGAGGAATCTGGCAGGTTTCTGAGTCACTCAGAGCAACAGATACATGATGCAAATCAACACACACTTCCTGTGCACCTGCTAAATGTCATTTACTCATTCAGTCAACAAACATTCTCTGGGCACCTCCTCTGCACTGGGCTGTGGAGATGAATCAGGTGGTATGGGCCCCTGAGGCTCACAGTTGGGGGTGGGGTGGGGGGGTGGACTTATGTACAAACTTAATCAACACAATGAGTTTGGTGTGAGGGAAGCATACACAGGTTACTCAAGCATCCCAGAGGAGGAAATGACAATTTTCCAGGTGGGTCAAAGAGGGCTTCCTGGAGGAAGTCACGGTCTGTGCTGGGTTTTTGAGGGAAAGTGGGAGCAGTGAGCTGGGTAGACCCCCTAGGCAGAGCATGACTAAGGGCAGGGGGAGGGGGTTCCCAGGTGATGCTCTCCGTGGTCCTGAACGGCATTGTATTGAGGGGAGAGCAGGGACTATGCACACGCACCCCCAATTCTTGTCACCCCTCCAGGTTCCAGAAAGTATAACATCAGTGAGTTCAGGGAGCTCTATTCTCAGTGCGGTGGAGCGTAAGTTTGAGAGCTGGGCGGTAGGATCTGAGGCTGGAGATTGGCATGGGTCGTGAAGGGTTCCGATGGGTCTTGGAGATGGTGTTAAGGAACTTAGATATTTTTATCCTATGGGCAGTGGGGAGCCGTGGAAAGGTTGTGTGCAAGGTGGTGATGGGGTCGTGTGTGTGATCTAGAAAGTTATTGGCAAGAAATATGGAAAAGACTGGAGGGGGATGTTGGGGCAGGTGGTGTTGAGTTTTAAAAACGTTAAGACATAGAGAGGTTTGAGCTGAGTCAGTGGGCAATGGCACACTGGGATTTTAAAAAGTGGACAGGCCCCAGATGTGGTTGTTGAGGGAGAAGGAGTCCCCGGTGACTCTAAGTGTCCTGCTCAGTGACAATGAGAATGACGGTGCTATTTGGCAAGAGATAAATGACACCAGGGTGGAGCAGGCTTAAGGGAAGGATGATGAATTCAGTTGTGATTGTGCTGAGTTTAGGGAGCTGTGAGAGATCTGGGGGGGGGTGTGGAGATGAGGCCACATCTAGAGATGAAGGTTGGGGTGTCCAGGGCACGTGGATGATGGCTGAGAGCCTGCCGAGGGCGAGTGTGCCCCACGAGAAGGGAAGGGACAGTCCTGAGCCCTGGGGGATGGGCAGAGGGGACTGAACTCCCCGTTATCAGCCTCAGGGAAGCTGGTGTTTCTGAGAGTGCTCTGCAAAGCTCTAGACACCTTACAGGATGTTCTGTGGGTCATGTCCCCATGGGGACACAGCAGCCTATA